TCTAATCTAACTGGTAAGCCCCCCGATTTTCTACGAATAGATTAATACTTTAAATTAAAATAAGCAACTAACGTACCTATATCCTGTACAAGGTTCATGACAACTTTCAACCCTTGTCCCCTTGTTTTCAGTTCACAATGATCTGTCTTGAATAATTTTTTTGATATATTAATGTTAAATCTCGTCGAGAGCGCGGAGAGAACTAATTTTGTTTCCGAATCCTCAATGATCTCTCTCATTTTATTTTTGATTACTCTCGTTTTCGAAAATATTACACGTAAATGTAAATATTGATCAGCAGAGTGCATCTGTAATCATTTAAAAAAGAAATGTCGACTTATTTTCATTTTATTATTGTTGTTGTGTTGTCCATGAATTTCACGGAAAAATGGTTGCCAGAGCTTCAAGGAGGTTAGACTTCTATTTCCACTCCAATTATGAAGGAGAGCGCCCAAGAGGGTGGTCCGCGAGTCTCCCACTCCTCTTCTTCTACCATCAATCCACACGACAGGACTTTCGACTCGCCATATATTTAGAGTGCTCCCATGCCCCAAAAGACACTATACATTTACAAACATCCATGCCTTCTCCGGAATTCAAACCCGGGCCCTTCGGAAGCGCAGTAGGCTCCCCTAACCACTCCATTATATGGATATATCTATACTGGGTCGGAAGCCAACTCAGCTGCTTACTTCCCCTAACCACTATATCGTCTAGGCGGCTATTTTCATTTTCGTACTTACATATGCAAATTTTTATTACCTTTTTTTTAATGTTTCTAATATGTTTTACAATCTCAACCGGTGTCGAGGTTACAATAGTTTTTTTAGTAATTCAGAATTGCAATTAAAAAATGAAGCAAAGTATTATTTGGTTCAATAAAATGCATTCTTAAAAGTTCTTTTTCGAATATTTCCTTTTACTAAAAGTACCTAATTATTATTTCTCTTTTATTTTCTTTGTTCTTCGTCATTTGCTTTTCTTCGCGGTTCTGAATCACATTAACTGAGATGCTGAAGTCACCGCTAACGCTAGGAATAATAACTAAAGTAACACTAAAAAATGGAATACAAAAATCTGAAAGGTTTCAGATTTTAAATTACGTTCAAAAAGGCGTGTTTTTTTTTTTTTTTTTTTTTTTTTACATTTTGCGTGTTACCTTTATTTATTAAATATCATGTTCTTCGCCCTTAACCATAAAATTCAGGTCAACAGGAATATCGCGAAATAATTTTAAAATAGCATATCTTTAGAATTTTCGATACATAGCCTCGCATGCTGGAGATAAAAATGTTAAATATTTTTTCTGTAGAATGTTGCCATTGCTCACTTTGAAATCCTTGAATTTGTTAATCAAAAATTCGTTAAAGGTTTACAAATATGAAATCCATAATAAAACAAATTCCAAATTTCAAATTTGGGCTTCCAGATGCCCATATTCGTAAGAGGATTACGTTATTCAAAATTGGATGGTTCTAGGTACCGCTGTTTTATCACAATGCGAGAAACATTCATACATTTATGCAGAGTCTTCATTATTTAATTTCTTTAAATATAATACAAGGGGATAATATTTGGTGGCAACAATTTGAAAAGTAAAACTTCGCTTGTAGTGAATCAGCGAAAAATGCCATAACGAAATTTATAGTTCTTCTGAGCAAATTGTCCCTTTGGATTAATAATAACTAAAGACTTAGGTTCAAGAGACTCTTCATCAGGTTCCTGGGCGATTAGGATCCTGAGGAGAACAGTTAGCAATTACATAGCTTTTGATGGCATAGCATGGCATTATTTCGAAGTGAGAACCAGCAACAATACTAATTCTCGTGTGAGCATGAGTGAGTCTTCAAAGGCGATGATATCCTGAGTAGAGAAGATAGCAATTATATGGCTTTTGAAGGCTTTTGCATTAATTTCGATGTGAGAATCAGTGAAAAAACTAATTCTTGCGTAAGGCATGAGTGAGTCTTTGAGATAGTTTTATCCGCGAAAACCAGGTCAGTGTAGCAGCAATAACTTTAGCTGCTGTTCAGCTTGTAGATAAGTTGAAGCAATTTATAGGCATATTGCAGCTTCTGAGCAGCGTGCGTCTTAAGTCCGAGTCCTAAATGAGAGTGTAAGCGTCGAAGTCCCGGAGGTTGGGCGATTAGGCGGAGTTAACTGGTTATAAATAAGAACTAAAGTAGGCACCTCATGCAAACTTATTCATCTCAAAATATCACAATATCTTAAAACTAACATGAAAACAATTCACAGAATACAGTTAATAAAATTAGACCATGAAGCTTAAAACATAGATTACGGATTGCATTATTAGTCTTAAAATTCTCAATTTTAAATATATAAAAATAAAATCTAACCTATTTTCCAAAATAAAAGCTTTAAAACTTAAGATTTCATTTTTAAAATTGCTTTACAAATCGTTGCCCTCCACACTTTCAAGACAAAGAATAATTAATTTAACATTTTTGTACGTATTTTACAATGTTTTTTTTAGATACTGAATTAGTGTTTTGTGCGTTAACAGTTTGTATAAACTTTCTGAAAAAATATCCCAGGAGAGCAAAAGTATTGAACAAAAATTTGAAACCTTTTATACAACTCCAACAGTAACAATTTTTGGCTGAAGATAATCCTGAGCAAATGCTTCGGATACTTTCATCAGTTTACATCCCAAATATATGTATAGTATATAGCGAATATAATAATTAGCTAGTAGCTTTGAGTAAAATAGCTAATATATATATTAAATACTCTACATAAATATATTTACTAGAAAATCTAAATTAGGTAATGAATATATAAAAAACATGTTTTAAGTAAAAGATCTGCACCTTGATATCTAAATGTGAATACAAAATTACGTATGTTAAAATGTTTGTTATTCGGCACATATCGGTTTTAACGAAAGTTCTCCGCCACCGCAAATATCGCCTGCGCAAACAGTTCACGTTGACGTGTTTAATCATACTTTGTCAAACGATTTAATATAATATGTTTTAAATAGCTTTAGATTCAATATAACCCAATATGAATTTCGAAATTTGAAGTTAATGTAAAACAGTATAATTCTGTATGCTTCTTATCGCAGCAGTAGAAAATGGTAGCGGAGAAGTTACAAAACAGGGCTGTACAATCCAGTTTTTGAAGCCGTTAACTGTGTTTACTGATGTATGTATATGTTTACTAATGTTATAATAAATACATACTTTTACAAACATATTGATATTTTACGATGAAATCGTTACGAAAGCTTAACCTGCAAAATAATGCCAAATTCTAGCAAGACAACAACACTGTAATGACTACGTGATTCTGACCGAAAAATGCGTCCTTAGTGTCTAGTTTAGACTCTGTCGAATGTATGTGGCGAGAAATACAGCATAAAATTCGAAGGCAAAATATCTTATAAAAACAACAAACTGATAAGGCGAAATTAGTGAAGAGCCCAGGAAAAAAAAATAAAATTTAGTTGAATCAATACAAAACGTTACAAGCCATGTTAAAAAAAAAAAAAAAATTAAGAATTTTTTCTCATTATTTGATAAAACAGTGTCTCATAACTTTTGTAATAAATTATTTCGGAGAAAAGAAAAAAACAATAATTTTATAATTTAATAGTTTATATTGGGAAAATATTCCATACAAAAGGGTACTAAGCAAATGCATACTACAAAGAAAGTCATATTTTATAATTCCAGTTTAAAGCAATTAAAATTTTTGGCACTATTTTCAGAAATAAAAAGTGCTCCATCATTCAATGCCTTTCATTATAAATATTGTTACGAAATGTACAGGCGCGGTGAGATAGCTTCCCCACAAAGCAGTTTTAGGGTTGCCATAAAATGGCGAGGGAAGGCAGGGTTGTCACATTTGGCGAGGAATCGTCCATTTGGCGACAAAATTGGCGATATACCATGGACAGATGGAGAACCTTCTGGAACGAATTCTTACCGGTTTAGCCCAGAATGTTTTGGAACACAAGCCGAAAGCTATATAAACCCTGCTAGTCCGCAGTTAGTATCGAGTCTGTGCCTTGGCTAGCGAGCTGATAGTTAGTATCGAGTTGTTGTCTCGTCCAGCAAGTCAATCGAGTTGACAACCCGGCAGCGAGTACTGAGTGGGTCGTCGAGTGCAACGAAAGAGTCTCGTAGTGTATCGTGGTTAATACATTTTTCGAGAGAACGGGTTGAGCTCTGGGAACGACTGAACCGAAGAGTCAGGAGCTGTGCTCTGTTTGCGTGGAGTGCATCATGATTTGTAGCGTGAGTCTCGAGTCGGAAGTTCCGAGAACGACCAAGAAGTCGGGGCTGTACTCTAGTGCTTGCCGTGAAGCTGTCTCCATCGTGATAGCCTGATAACCTGGAGGCTGTGTCGCTGATTGTGTCAGCGTGTTTATAGTAGTTCATCGACGACTGTAAAAACGTGTTTTGGAGCTGATGATACTGGCTAATAAAGTGTGTTTCAATACTTCATCAAGAAGTAGTGTAGTTATTCACTCCAAATTCACAAGAACCCCATATGAACGTGAAGGAAGAAAATAACGTAACAACTGGTGTCATAAAAGAAAAACGTAACAATATAATTGCATGCAATGTTAGTTCCAAGTCCTTTTATCCTCAACATCCCATTTTGAGATGCTATGCAGTATCATTAGAAACAAACAGTTGTAAGACAATAGTTCTTTTTTTTTTTTTTTTTTTTCCTTCAAATTCTCTTTAGACCAGGCATTCTTGGCTGCATTTAAGGTTGACGATACACCCATCGAAACCAACCTATTATTTGAGAAGGGGTCCTGCATACAGTTAAATGAAATATAAATGAATTCAACATACCTAAGCTATGAATATCTCTGCAGATAAGAAATACCATTCGAGCTAGATATCGTTTACGAAGTTGCATCTAAGATTGAAATCTCTTTCATAGATATTTTTATTTATTTTTAAAATCCCGTTAAATTGATAAATTTAATGAATTCAACTTGATCATTTGTATTTCAGGCAGTCGAGCTATTCAAGTTCCAGACGCAGTGGCTCTACTACACCACTACCGCATCTGTGAATTTGGTGGATTTAGTTGCCTTAAGAAAACAAGTCTTGTGGATAGAACTGCCACAAGATTTGGGCCCGAGCTACTGAGAAGAGTTTTATCTCAATGCCAGCTGGTCTATTCTGATCTACAAGGCAAATGTCCACTCTCTCCACCATTAGGTTCTCCATGGTGACTCTCGTGTTTCCAAAACTCTGATGGACTTGCAAGTTGATATACCATCCAATAGCCTTCTCATTTTGATTAGAAAAAAATCAATTCTTTTGAGACATTGCACTCAATTCCTAATTTCGCACCAAGCATTATACAATCTCTTTTATTTGCTAGTGTTGATTTTAATCACAAGTATAATTTGATAAAGGATGTTTCTCATTTTTAATCATCATGATATAAGTTTCAAATTATACATAATCCGTAATCACAATCAAATAGTCTGATCAACAATAAATGAATATAAGCTAATAAATTTTTAAAAATTCGGATAAGTAATGTTATATTGCAAGGAAAAAAATACACTGTATATTGAAAACTAATTATGGTTGAAAATATAATATAATTTTATTATTTAAAAATTTATCATGCATTATTGTCAAAATATTCAATATTTACATCACAGCTCTGACTTATTATGAAGCAACTAGGCGACTCTTTCATCACAACTTTTGAGAACGAACAATTTTCAAATTTTTAAAATAAAGTAGAACTTTCTTTAATTACGCCCTTGTAATTTATGAGAATACCTAAATTTCTTTCATCATTCAGAATATATTTTCTATTATACATTTCTGTAAATGATAACCGTTCATTGACACTTAGTATAACCATAATAAGCTTGAAAACATTAATATTGTATATGACTCCCAGCTATGCATTTAATAAAATAACTATTCAATCACAGATAACTGATTTAATATCAGATATAAAATCTTTACCTAAATAATAATATTATACACAATCAGTGTAATTAAGACAGAATTCAAGCTCTTTCATTGACGTAATTTTTTATTCAAATAAATAATTTGTTTTTCAGGTATCACTGATTAAAAAAATTAAACAGTAAAAGGGGAAACTGGTGGATTATCAGCAAAAACCTTCAATTATGACAGCAATATAATCTAAACACGCAACAAAAATAAATGGTGGTGTGTTGGTGTATTTAATTATGGCAAAGCACACTAGGGCTATATGCCTATGGGGAGGGATGCCTTTGTGGAGGACTTTCTAAGGGAAACTGGCTCGTATACACGTTACACATAGGGGAAACCACGAAAACGCCCATGCAGCCAGCCCGTCATGGGATTGACCTCAGCCGACTACAGTTCAACGACTTACCGCTCGCCGCTGGTGGTCAGCAAATAAATGATTATATTCTTTAAATATAAGTGTAAAATACAAAATTCACTTTGGCACAGCTTAAAAGCAATCAGATCAAGCACAACAGCAGAGAACACTGCAAATGTAAGAACCAAATCTGAACAATCTTAAAAGATTAAAAATAGTAACACCTTTTATCAAAAATAAAGGGAGTGTGGAAATAAATAAAATAGCATAATAGATACAAAATTATCTAGAAAGGTTTAAAAATAGGGCCAAACAGAGACATTGTCTTTTTATATTCGCATTTCAGATCACGTTAGCTGATTTCCCCGCCCCTCCTAATTAAATTATTATAAATTTCATAATCGTAGACAAACTCTTTAAAAATAATCAAAGAAAAAAAATTGAGTCTAAATTAGCAGCTTAATTGCTATCTTGGATAAAAATGATACTAATTATAAATGAAGATTTATTAAGAAACAAACTTTTAAAATATATTCAGGTACCAAAAAGAGATATACAAAAATTACAATTTACAAATTACATTACTTGACATTTATAAAAGATACTTCATTCTACAAAATGAAATGGCCCCCGCCCCCCCCCAAATCTCAATATTTTCAGATTTTATGGGTTATCCAAAAGGGCTTTTTAAAAATCCTATGGCCCAGGTGGAATAGCGAAAAATTGTATAGATAAATAAATATATTCAGACTAATGGGAATGTTATATATCTTTATCACATCCATGTCTAGATATTTTTTAGCCTCAGGTAAAGAGGTAAATGTGTGCCTTCATATACAGTTAAATTAACTACAACATTATAATTTGATTTTTAGAATCAAGTTTAAAGATTATAATTAAGGCTATTTTGTATTTTTATAATTTTAAGGTTACATATTTATATATATTTATAATTAAGGTTAGAGTACTCTCATAATATTTTCATGTTTTTTAAACTTAGTACTCTTAGATATTTTTGATGTTGCTGCTATATCAGTAAAATGATACAATAATTATAATTTTTAAATAATATAATACCTATAAAATAAAAAATATCTTTTATATAAAAGCAACACATAACAGAATATGTAGTATGGTATTAAAATACTGTGCTCATCATGAAGGTTTTTTTTAATTTAATTTTTATTGCTTTTAATAAAGTAAAATTATTAATAAACGTTTCAAAATTTATTACCATAATTTTTTACCTATAGATAGAAAAACTAGCCATATATGTACGCTTTCCTTGACCAAGTGAAGACTTTACACTTGTTACTTAAGCTTCTGTCACACTAGAAATTGAAAATTAAAAATATTAACACAACTTACAATTCCAATAGGATTCAACTCAATTGCCATTTGTATATTATGTTTGAAAGATCGAAACTTGAAAGGTGTTTAGTTTGTAGAAATAACTAAATTTTAAAGCCAGATATTTCAGACGAGATTTAAGTAACATTTATATCATTTGTATATTTAAGTGCTCAGTTAGCAATTGCTTTATTTAAATTACCCAATTAAATTAAATTACCATTTTCACTGGTTTTTAAAACTAAAGTCAACAGATATTGCGCCTAAATTCTCAACGCCAGTTGCTAGATAAACACATCTATTATTTCTACTGAGATATATACATATATATTTATAGGATGACTTGGAGAAAGCTGCAATGGATTGGCGATGGTTCTTTACGTTGTAATAATTTGGACAGAATTTACTGCGTGGTTAGAAAGATGACATTCAAAGACAGATGTAGCTATAAGTTCCACACGTAATTTTTTCCTTGATAACTAACTCTTAGGACACTTTTTTTTTTTTTTTAATTGCACATCATCATTGTAGTGCGCTATTCAGTTTCAGAAACTGGATGCAACAACATTACATGTATTTTACTTTAAAAAAAATCTATAACAATAATAATAAAAAAATCTGAAAGGTTTCAGATTTTAATGGTTGCCTAAAAGGGTCTGTTAAGGTTTTCTTTGCCCTCGTTGAGCTTGCAGTCTATCACTAAGGCTGATTCAACTAACCCCACTTTTTGTTTTTATTTTTAGCTTAATTATTAAATATAATTTTCTTAGCACTTATGTTATATACAACTGAACAGCAAAATTAAAAAAATTTTAAAAACAGCATAGCAGTATATGTTTAGAATTCCTGATGTAGCGTAAGTGTTGACATTTTTCTTTTTTTTAGTTATTTCTCAATTCATCATATCAATGTTCAGCTTTCTCAATGTTCACAGTTCTTTGCAAAACATTTTTTTTTTAATTAGTAACATTCTGTGTGTTAACTTTATTTATTAAACATCACGTTCTTGGCACTTATGCCACATAACAGTCGATTCAATAGCAAAATCACTAAATATTTAAAAATAGCATATTTTAAGTTTTCCGAGCTGAAGATAGATATGTTTTTTCCCTCCCTCCATATAGTGTTGCCAATGCTCGCTTTGAAATCATTGAGTTTGTGAATCAAAAATTTGTTTAAGTTTTAAAAATATGAAATAGATTATAAAACAAATCAAAATTCAGGCTTCCAGATACCTATGTTCAGGTGGAGGACTATGTTTATCTGCAATTTGATGGTTTTAGGTACCGTTGTTTTCTCGCACCTTGCGCTCATTCAGATTCTACATTATTTAATTTTTTAAATATAATACAGGGCAATAATATTTGGTAGCAACAATCTGAAAAGTGATATGCTGTCTATAGTGATTCAATGCAAAATGCCATTTCGGGAGTAAAATCTCATACGGGACTAACATCCCTTTTGGGCTAAAATGCATCGACAATTCGTCATTAAATGCACTGAGAATGGCAAACTTAAAATGCTTTTTACATTAATTCAAACTGCAACACACTTTTTAAAAATGTAAAAAATCGCTCGACTATGATTTTTTTAAATCATTCTTATTATGAAAGAAAGCAAAAACTTTCTTGTATAATCGTGAAAACTTTAGAACTTTATATCCGACGTATTTCTAGACTATGAAATTTTAAAATCATAAATAGTGAAATCAAGCGGTTTACAAAAATTCAGAAATTAATTATAATTTTCATACAAGTTCCACTGAAAATATTTTTCTTTCCACTCTGTTCGACAGTGCAAAGAGTAAAATTCTGATATGCTTAGCTTATTCGCTAAAAGAAGATATGTATGAAAATTTTTCTTAAATATTAAATTAAAAAAATTTTAAATCTAATTTTGAAAAAATAAAAATCGTTTCACTACATTGCATTGTCATCAGCATACAGTTTGTGTACAAACTTTGAAATCGGTAGCTTACCATGAAGTAGGTTAAAAATCGATGACAAAATTTCACCCCAAGTGAAACACAGTGAGTGAACTAAGTAAAATCTTATAAAAAATATTCTTAAGTACATCTACAGCTTTTAAATAACTGTTATCAATAACAGGCAAATTTGAAAAACTTTTGTTTTACCGAATAGCAACAGACTCCAATGAAAAGTAACAAAACATTTAGAGTGGACAACATATAAAGCAAATCGATGAAAAATCGCAATTTGAGACTAATAGCTCTTTTAGAGTTAAAAAAAAACTTATAAAATGTGATTAATAACAACTGCACAGCTCTGAAACATTGCAAAATAAATAAAACTACATTATTCTGAACGATCACAAAACAAATAAATAAACTATATAAGCTAATAATGGATTATATCAACAGAACTTCAACATCTTTACTGTCATGTCCCTAAATATTTCCGTCAGTTTATAAACATGAAAATAATAACATGTCAAGATGAAATAACTATGCCTGGTAACTTGAAGTGACAAAGAATCACTTTTAATGAGAACTTTTTTGCTGCAGTGTTAACAACACATACCAAGCGATTAGATTATAGCAAAGCTCACAAAGACTACTTGCATAAGCTCCATTTAACTTTGATTCACAATAACCAGGACAATATTATCCAAGATGCTTGTATCTTCTTCTTCACAGCTCAACAACTACTCAGGAAGATATTTGATTCAACAGATTTTAACCACCCCATTTTAACAAAGTTATAGTAATCACAAATGCTCATGATTTATCAAGTTTTTAATTAACATTAATTTAAGTACATTCTCAGTCAATCTACAGTGACCTTAATAAAAACTGAATCAGCAATGAATTCTACCCCTAAAATCTTTTGAAATTACCTTTGGTATATTCTGCTATGACAAACATTGATATGTTCATTAGAAAATTTAAAAACTAATGTAGAATAGTAACTCATTTTCCCTTCCCACCTTTATCCATATTTCAAGGGGTAAAACTATAAATGATGAAATTAAATCTTAACAATCCTTTTCTTTAACTTTCCAAAGTGACAGTAAGCATAGAACTTATAATCAGAAACAATCTACAACAGAAATGGAATTCTTGAATAAGGGGGGGGATAACCAACCAATAACCAATCAATAATAAAATCTACTGATTTCATAATTAGTTTTTCAGATAAGTAAATGACTGAAACTTATTTTAGTTTTAATCAGTATATCAATATAGCTAATCAGCAGCACTGGTCACTGGACAAATTATTTTGTAGGTATAATGCATAAAATATGAAAAAAAAATTAAACATTTTTGATAGAACTTTATTTCTGACTAGATATGATACATCACAGTGGTTTGGCTAAGTACATTGACTAAGCAAAATGAATTTTAAGCTACATATTAAAGAAGATAGAAAATTCAGGCCAACACTTCATGCAGTTAAACATTTGGTAACTAAAGGTTTGCCATACAGATGATAAGACATGAAACTGTAGCATAATTTATCAAAAAAGTAAACCACAGATAAATAAACAAATTAAAAAGCAAAATATAAAATATCTCTAAAAGTGAAAAATGTATTGTACAGGAAGAGGACAATTTGCAAAAATATGCAATAGATGCACATCTAGGCATAAAAATATGATATTTATCCCTTTCACAATTGTGACAATTTTCCTCAGTTACCACACAACAATCTGAATAAAACAGTAGTCAAGTGAAAATTTGTAGCACAGAAAAACAGGACAGAAAGAATTTGATTTATAATGTGAAGTTCATTTTTGTACAAATATACCGTAAAAAGACTGAAGTGATCAGACAAGACAGTCCTTTTATAACTGTACATACATAGACTACACAAAAAAAGTGGGGAGCACATTAGTGTATAAAATATAATTTAAAATTTCAATATTGACAGTCAAATAATACAATCACAACCTACAATCATATAATTTCACACATGAAATATGATGTACAGTAAAACAGTAAAAACTAATTAAATATATGTATAACAGCTTCATGTTCATCCTTCAATGTTAATGATTTTATAAATATACATATTGTGTATAACAGAGTTATTTTTTGCAGTGTTATATACCAAGCCTACATACTAATTGTTGATAAGTATTTGGGCAATGAAAGAGTGTTAAAAAACTTATAATAAACAGATTTTGCAATTTAATATACAATATTCAGTGATTATAAAGTTACTTCAGACTCTTTTTTTAAATTACATAGATCTTTCTGCATAAAGCAATTCACAAAATATGAAGAAACTAATATTTTAAAATTGACAATGATTAATTGCTTCAGCTGAAATTATATTATGTATACAATAAGTGATTCAAGCTTTCCCTCAGACAAATTTCTACCAGTTGTACACCTTCATAAGTAATTTTTCATCCATTTTTATGAAAAGGGTTGATTGTGAAACATATTTTATGAAACTTACCTTGATTGTGAGATTTCATTTAAAAATGCAAGCACAATAACTACATAGTAAAAAAAAAAAAAAAATCAGTTTAAACCATTCAAATGGAAATTAAGTTTAATAATAAATTCTACTTTTTAAAAATTATTCTAATAGTCTAGCAAAATGATATACCCTCAGAGAAAATAGGCTCATATAGATAAAAAAGGAATGCTGCAATATATGTTTTAAAAAAAAAAAAAGATAAAGTCAATTGCCATTCTTGTTACTTGATTTACTGTACATCTCTACATAAAATTGTAATTTCAAAGCAAGCAAGAGGCAAGAACATCTACACTGTTTTCCATAAAATGTATTATTTTCATAAAAATATATACTGGGAGGATTTACTGGTCACTTATATTTTACAGTCTTCACCTTTTCACAAAGATGCAATACTACACAAGGAATAAAATTAAATACAAATAACAAGTAGTTTCAAAGAAATATTTCTAATAAAAATATGTATCAACTGAATCCCCTACATATACTGATACTGAATAAATACTTCAAATATACATTTTATTGCAAATTCGAATTTATCAGACAGTATGGAACGGTGACTTACATGCATAATTTTCATCTAATTAACATGAATACTTTGGTAGGTAAAAGCAAACAAGATTTTGCAATGACAAGTATTTCTGAAAATTTTAATACTCAAAATATATTTTAACATTCTAAATAATTGCTAAAGAAATACTGCACGCATTAAGACATGTAAGTAGGCTGCACATATGTAATTATATGAATAAGCACATGCATTAACACATGATCATATATTTTTTAATAATACATTTATAATGTTACTTGTGTTCATTGTTAAATTACATCTAATCTATAACTATCTGCAGCCTAAACATTATGGTACTACCAATTTTTGGGGGTAATCAAGTACAGAACATATGGTTACATATAAAAGGGAGAATCTGTTCAGTTTGGAGATAAGCCGGTGAAATTATTTGCCTTTGTTAACCACTACACATACTTCTTTCATGACAGCACACATACACACACTAAAAATTGATGTAATTAAATATACAATTTTAATCCTGAAATTTAAAAATTAAACCAAAATATCACTGTAATAGAAACATAAGGAATTATGAAATAATACTTAGCTAGGATTATTCGGCTGAACTTTAGCACTCATTATCAGCTTTGTTGATAAAACACACACATTTTTGTTCTTTAGAGAGAAGGGTTTAGTGTATAACAGGTTTCCAGAGTGGTTAACAGAAGCATAATTTAAAGAGCTTTATAAACAGTGCCATAAAACATTACTTTTTTTAACAGCACACAAACTTATTTAGTTCATAATATACAAGAAGACACAGAATAATGAAGTTCCTGCACTGGGAAAATAACAATCCTATTGTACTTTTTTATATATATTTCTGCAAGACAGATATATTCAGGGTTGCCTATTATTGCCACTGCAGATTTCAATATCCTAGGTGCTAGATATCTGCAAAATCCTACTTAACTAGGTCTTGCTATGATATAAGAACAGTGTTTCCCATTTTGAACATTTCAGGTAAAAGGGTATAGTAACTAAAATATATGATGCAAATTAACTGAAAAATTGCCTGTTTTAATTTAAGATGCCTTTGTCTTCTATATTTTTAAAACAGAGAAAAGTATACAGTTGCAGAGAGCCTACTATTTACAAAACTATAAAATAAATAAATTCATAAAAAGAAATGATTACATTCATCATTTCATTAGGTATACTTACTTTAGATATTGAGGCAAATTAACTAAATTTTTAACAAACAATATATATAATTTTTACCCACTATTGCCTTGCTAATGTTCCACATAAATATAATATAGGAAGGATAATTCTAAAACCTATCAAAAAAGCATAACTTGAAAAGAATACTGAAATTTTCCTCAAGACTGCAAAAGAAATTTCTTATATCTATGAAATTTTAAATATGAGAGTTTAAATGCAAAATGCATATCAAGTCAAATTTTTAAGCAAATTTCACAATATGTATGTATGCATATATACATATATACAGCGAAACTAGCCTCAAAACCTTCAAGCAGCCCTAAATATACATATTTAAGCATAAAGAATTTATGACACATTTCCTCAAAATGATTAATCCAATTTGAACAGAAATTTATCTGTATGATGAACTTTTTTTCAATTATTCCATTTTGATTTTAATTTGCAAGTAGAAATTAACCATAGAAATATACAACTCATATTAACAATTTTAAAAAAAATTTGAAACAATCACTTAAATAACCTCAAATGATCTGACCTGCTGACTTAACACAGAATTTGCAAATAAAATAATACTACCACTGATTGCCATAAAAACACATTTTTGCTACATTTTGCTTTACAGTATATAATACTTTATGCAATATTTCACAAATTTGTCACAGATAAAAAATAAATGAATGAATATACAGTGAACAATAAAAAGTACAATAATGCATTTCAGATACAATTTATAATCAAAATCTGGCTTTCTTTAGTAAACCAATAAATCACAAAGCATTAATTCATATGGAATTATAAATACTATGGCACTACATTTGGAACTTAAAATTTCGCTCAATTTTAAAATTCATCTCAAAGATAAAAAGAAATCAGAATCAAGAATATATATATATATATATAAGTGAAGGCCCGATTTTAACTTAATCATTTTATGCTAAAGCTTAATAATGAAAGTGTACTCAGTTATCTCAAAAATGGATAATTAATTGACTATATTTCCATTCACAAGCTGTGCATGGTGAATGAAATATTAAGTTCCAAACAACTTATCCCCGATATTTTTACTCATAACAAAACTCAGGATAATGTGTGCTCTATTAACACAGAATTATGGAAAATTCATCACTGCTTTCAATACTTAATGTGACAATGTAAATGCTCATGAAACATTCATTTCAGCAGGGCTGGCAAAAGAGGCTAAAATAATCATTTATTTTTGTACTAAATTAGCCAAATATCTCCTATTTATATCTAATTTCAATGGCTTTTATATAATTAAAAAAATTAATGAAAAAGTATGCAACTAATTCAATTTTTGTCATTAGTAAATATCACAATAGGATGCCATTGTTATAAAGAAGAAAAGGTAGTGCAATTACAATTTAAAAGTTTTTTTAACAATTTTTTATCCATTTAAATAAAATGCAATATGATTTAACAACTTAAAAGTATTTAAAAAATGAATCTAGGCAGAAGACAGAAATGATACAGAAATGAGTGATGTTTTGAAGCTCTATATATCCTTTTAGAAAGGATTTCATCAGTGTAAGTAATGGTTGCCCTGTTAATCATTTGAATAAGTTGTGTAAGGAGTATGATCGCATAAACATACACCTATACAGACACACAGAAGCATAGCTACTTTTTAAACAGTTTTTTAATCAGTATAAAAAGTCACAAAAGCTTTTAATTTAAAAAATAATAATTAAAATCATCATTGTACTCATCAAATTTCTCTCAATATGCCAAAAAAGGAACAATTTTGTACATAAAAAAATAAGACACCAAATGTCAAAAGAAAATGATTACTTGATTTTTTTATTCTTAGGATTCAAAATCATATTGTTGCAGGGTTTAATTCCCTTTAAAATTATCATTCTTTTCCTCTCTTCTTCTAATATTCTTGAAATACCTTTTAGCAGGATATTTTTTACTATAAATATCTCAAAATAAGTAATACTGATTAACAAAGCAATGAGTTCAATGAATACATTTAACATAATCAAAAATATTAATAAACTTAAAAAAGGAAGGAGTTAGCCTGAAATAGATCAACTACAAATAATTTCATTGAAAGCAAATCAAAGTGCACTTAACTGATGAATATGAATCAATATTATTTACTGCTAAACCACTGACTGTTTGAGACTTAGTATAAAATGTTTCAATTTAACAGTTTAAGGTACTTGCATTATTAATTCTGAAATTCTCATCTGTTCAAAACAGAACTTTAAATGTAGCTATGCCACTGCCCTAAGCATACATATGTAAGCATGCTCATCAATAAAAATAAAAAAAAGTTTTGATCAAACCTTATAAAAAATCTCATTTGCCTGCTCTGCACACAAGTGTCAAAACAGATCAAGAATTGAACTATCTTTCCTTTCTAAATCATTGGGCAACCCAGCATGCTAACACCCACATTTTCAAAAAGGACTCAAAAAACTTTTTATCACCGCTCAAGGAGTACAGTAGTAGTAATGGAACAATGCACATCATTGTACATAAACATGTGGAGCTCTCTAATCCCTCTTTCACCTACAAACGACTCAACGAGTAGATTATATGTATTAGCGATGGAATGCACATTAATAAGCTGGCTGTTGGAAACCAGGCCCACCTGGGGCCATATCTTTTTGGTTTGAGGAGAAAGGAGGCTCTTGGTAACCCTCATTCATTTCCGGTCCATCAGGATAACTGGTGTAAGGGGCACCACCAGGCATACTTGCATCTCCTTCAAAACCACTGGTCATGAATGCAGTATCTGCACCCTGGCGATAACGAGTGAAAGCAAAAAATATGCAACCAGCCTGCAAATAAATTTATACATTGAAGGAGCTGTTACATATGTTTATAATGAGGTAAAAATATAAATAACTGTTATTTTACACATACATGCCTATATATAATTTTATTATATAAGAGCATTTCTACATAAAATAACAAAAACTAAGGTGGAAAATACAGTAGTATCATATTTGCATAATATAACAGTAACTACAATACTGATAAAGCAGTATACATGGCTCAATAGAAAATACAATTTTTTAAGTATCATTAACTCATTGATAAAAGTAAGATTTGCACAATTCTAACATTGATTATTTCATAGTAACAAGTTTAACTACAAGAAATGTACTAAGAGGAGACTTTTTACAGTATCTATCAAGTAAAGTAGACAGCATATGCAGAAAATGGTAAAGAAGCAAAAGGTACAAAATGTTATTGATTAAAACAAAATCTTTTTCCATAAATATATAAAGTAATTATTGTCTGTAAGTTTTTTTAAAAAAATATTTTTCTTAATATTGCTGTTTTCTGCTTGAGAACTGCTGGCTGTTAGTCCCATTAAAAATTTATCCAATGTGATTTATTTCAGTTTATGTTTTAAAATGTTCCTAAATCCTGATATGATGTAGGCATCATAAATATTTATACTGCGGCTTATTACTAGTTTACTATTGATAATGTGATCAATCGAAACTTTCCATTTTGCAGATCTATAACTAGAAACATCCTCCCCTTAAAGACACTCTAAAACCATTTTCCCCCTTTTTTTGCTGCCCTAGAAGTTGTTCCAGTTCTTCCCAGCCGAGCTTATTTTTGTGGTTTTCTTGCAACTCTTCTACATGTCTTCACTCTTAACTTCAAAGCCCAAGTTTCCAATTTTTTGCCTAAAGATAGAATATCATCGGTAGCAAAAACTTTATCAGTGTTATAGTATTCATAGTTTCTGCCTCGAACACAATCTGGCCATAATGTTCTCCATGCTGAATTCATGAAACTGTTAGTCACTTGCTGCCAGGCTTTCTCCGCCAGTGTCTTTTAACCCTTTAAGCGGTCAATTTTTTTACCAGAATTGCTCCCAAAAAAAGCATATTTTTTTATTGCATATAATTAAGTACCATACTTAATAGAATAAGAATAATAAGAGTTTTTAATGTTTTTTTTCACTTTTAATGGTTTTACAACATTTTTTATTTTACAATTTTGGAAAACAAAACCCCCTAAATGTTTGCTTTTTTCAAGTACATTTTGCATACAGTGAAGAATGGTTTACAATTTCTATAAAAATTTCTTTCATACTTACTGTGAATTTTGAAGTTTATATTTTTCCAAACAGTTCAGAAGTCTTTTTGTGTATGGTATAATTTGAAGCATGGTGTAATGCAGAGTCCTACGTCGCAATCAGGGCAGAAATACCTTGTTTCTTTTCGTATTCTTTTTCCATTCTCATTTCTTTTAGAACAGCACACTGCGCATTGTCTTGCAGGTCTCATTTTCTTATCTGTGGGAGCAATTATTTCCAAAAAATGTCTCTCTGTCAATCTCAGAGGATTAGGCTCCGAACCTGGTTGTCCACGTCGGAAATTTTGTCCCAAATGATATGTTTCAATTATACGGTCAACGAGATCAAGTCTAAATTCCAGTTGTGTACGTTTTCCTCCATTTTTACGGTAGACAACATATGAGTTCCATACAGCAATATCAAAAATGTGGGAAAAAAATCTTTCTGTAACATTTTTTGCCCCTTTTCTTGATAATTTCAAAACTCTTCAAATTTTGGTCCATGCGGTCTACTCCTTCCATAGTATTATTATAGTCCATAACAATTTTCGGTTTTCTTTCATATCAGAGCGGACTTGAATTTGTTCCATTTCAGTATTGTGAATTGTGGAAAGTAATGAAACTTTTTTTTTATCCATCCACTTCATCACAGTAACTTTTCCTCTCTGAAAACCTATATCTCTCTCCTTTTTTCAATTTTCTTTTTTTTCTTTTCTGCATTTCTTTTGGGACTTCTTTTCTCTTGAGGTTTAGTGTGCCATATGTGTCCGTTCGACATGAAACTAGTTTTGTCTGCTAATTCTGGCGAAGAATAATATTGTCTATTGTAAGACAGTATCCTTTATGAAGCAAAGGCTCCATCATTGTCAGGACAATTTGTGATGAAAAGCAAAGTTTAGAATATTCAGGTTTCAGAATTGTGTCTTTACCTGTATATATTATTATTGACCAGACATAAACAGAATTGGATTCGCACAACATAAAACATTTTACTCCAAATCTAGCTCTTTTGAGTGGAATAAATTGTTTCCATCCTAGTCGTCCTTTGAATAGCATAAGGCTCTCATCCATTGTTACATCTCGCTCTGGTGTCACCGTTTCACTAAATTTCTTATTGAGATGTTTTACAACTGGCCAAACTTTAACTAATTTTGGGCATTCGTGATTTTCTTTGTCAAATGCTGCATTATCAGAAAAATGCAAGTAACATTGCAAAAGACAGAATCGACGATTAGACATTATTTTAGAGAAAAAAGATGTATTAGTCGAATATCTTTTGCTCCAATAATGATCAATTCCAGGTTTCTTTACAATTCCTTGAAGTATATTCAGAGCGAAAAATACATGCAACTCGTTCACAGTTGTCTCTTCTTCCCAAAATTTTTACTCTTTGAGAATTGTTTTGCAACACTCGATTGGATGCACTGTTTAGCATATTTATTTGTCTCTTCCACAATTTTACTCATGAGTGAAGAATCAATGAATGTTTCATAAAATTCTAAAACATCAGAAGTGTCGTCAAATTGTGTGTGCACAGAAGGAATACCAGTAAATTTAAATCGAGGACACGGAACAGGTGGATTTTTCACATCAACCTCGGTAAAAATCCTTGCAGAACACAAATCTTCATCAGAGCTGAGCTCACTGCATGATTCATCTGAGGAATAATCCAAATAATTAGATGAAATATCTGTATCTGTATCAGAATGTAGTTCATCATCTAACAAGAAAGTATTTTCGTCGTTTATTCCATCCATAACTTCCATAAGAAAAGACAAGGTTTTAAATTCACAAGCGTTGAATACAGTAGAACAAAATTCAAAGAAAAATCCCCCCTTCCCGCTACAAAGAAAACCCGGATGAAAAGCATTTCAGTTACATGACAATTCACCCATCTGTCGAAAAATATTAATACTAATAGTATCTTTACAATATTGAAAAATACGGGCAAACCAGAAAAGGAAAGGAGAAAATATCTATGCCCGTATGCCGTACGGGCAAACTGGTTGAGGCCAATTTCGGGTAGCACGTACACCGTACGGGCAAACTGCTTAAGGGGTTAAACAGTGGAAAATATTAAAAGGACATTTTCAGAAGTCTCGAAATGTTAATTCCGTTAAAGAGATTACCTAAAAATGCTTTTGAAAAGTGCTTTGGTATATAACTTCTTCAAATTTGAAACAATCTGATGGTCCAAGGGCTGTATTAGAAAAAGTCATATTAAAGACAGGAATTTCACTGTGATAAAATATAACTTTTCAACCAACTCATTTACAGAAGGGCCAGGTGCAATGTCTATCCCCACATAGGTTTATGTGATTACCACAATTCCTAGATGGCTATCTGCCTAAGGGAAGAGATGCCTTTATGGAGGACCTTCTAAGTGAAACTGGCTCATATACATGTTACACATTGGGAAAACCACGAAAACGCCCATGCAGCCAGCCCGTTCACGGGATTTGAACCTCGGACCGAACTACCAGTGTTCAACGACTTTACCCCTCAGCCGCTGGTGGGCTGCCAAACCTGGGGGTTACATCACTAATGCACTGTGCATACAGTAAAATCATGTTCCACAAAGTTAACTTTCTGTAAGAAAAATATGTTAACACATTCACTACCAATCATGTACTGGCACGTGGATTGACGTTATTGCTGAAGAGCCAATCACGCTCAGCAGCGTAGTGTGGAGTGATGTCTCAGGTGCCAGTCATGCCTTGGTACAGGAAATGCAACGTCTCCTTGTTTATTTTCAAGTTCAATCAGCTTTACGTTTTGAATATGCATGCTAGCATTGGCGTAGAGTGAAGGTGAGGATCTAGTTGTAAATGCATGTGGTTTGGAATGGAAACAAAGTTTCATTTCATGCAAAGCTCATACATGAATAAGATTCTGAAATATATAGTTTGCAATAATATCATGGTAACTATCTTATACTAAATTCATTTGTAATGTATATATTTATTTGCGATATAGTTTCATACAAAAATAATGCATATTGCTACTTATTTTGATTCATTTTAAAATGCCATGCACTAGCACATAATGCGGCATTGCAGAAATAATTTTAAGTGTTTTATCTCCAGTGCCGATCAGGTGCTGGTGCATAGTCATAAAATTCTATACTTAAAGGCTTGGTAATCGATGTGGTACACATAATAACCTTTTATTACCTCTTTTAAATCATATTTTTCATAGTAAGTAAATCGGTATATGGGTACAATCTACTTTTACGACACAGTATATTCTATCAACACAACCTCATGATTAGCAGCGAAAATGTTAAGCATAATTTAGATAAGAAAGTAAGTATAACTTTAATCAAAAGGAAAAAATGAAAGAAATGTTAATTAAGATCTTCATTATTATTTAATAAGCATGTGATAAAATTATTTATTTAAAGTTTATGATTTTTCCTTAGGACAATGACTAACACAACTTTTTAAAAGTTTTGCAGTACAGAATGCATTATTTCTCAATGCCTAAATTGATTTTGGCTTTTATTTGGGTCAATCTCCAACGCAAATTCAAACAGTTCCCATGCCTTCTTTTAACAATTTTATTAATTTCATGTAAATGAAGCTATATCTTACTCTTATTAATTTAAGGTGCTTTATCTTTCTTTTCATGTCCACTATCCTCTGGTGTTAAAAAATATCCAGTTCTTCATTCATTATTTCTTGATTGTCAATTCTTGATTAATTATTTGATTTAGGCTTCAGAAAGTTCTTTGCTGCCAATT